ACAGTCGCAGTCGCAGTCGCAGTCGCAGTCGCAGTCGCAGTCGCAGTCGCAGTCGCAAATTTACGATGACAGTGACAATCATAGAGGAAATTTCGAAAAATTATATATGCATGTTTTTTTTTTATATATGCATACGTATGTTTTTTCTTCTTTTAGATCATATTATGGAGAGTAAATCCCCTTACATGGCACTATTCAAGTAACAGCATTAAATCTGCAGTTGTTGACGTCACCTTATCTTTAAGTAAAATAATAAGCATTACGCATGCGCAACATCCCAATAGTAACATGAATAACAGTAGTTTGAACAGTGAAGTCGATCCTACTAAATACAAACCAAATCACAAAAAATGTAACAATACTGTCTACGATCAAATGAACAAGACGAACAACATCAAGGAAAATAGGACACGAGAAGAATTTAAAATTTTAAATCTAACCGTCCCAGTAGAACTCTTTATTCCAAAGTATGGTGACGAGTTACAGAACCTAACAGGGAATGAGTTTGGAAGTGAGGTGTTTTTCGTTAAACCAAGCACAGAAGACAAAGACTTTCTAACATATCACCAAATAAAGATGACGTCACCTTATGTTAGCATCAATGTGAATGTTAARCCTGCAAGAAGCGTCCAGTTTGATCTGTATATCAGATACAACGAGAAACCTACCTCGAAAGATTATAACTTTAAAAGGCAAATTCCAGAGTACAGTTCCTGTTCTTACGACTTAAATCTGAAGAAGTACACCAACTGCTCTTTGGACCCCTATACATTTTCTTTTTCGGCCAAAGATTCAGGGCACACAGGTTTGCATTATCTTGGAATCCGCTACCTTCCTTCCTTCTACAACAGAACTAGAAACCAAACAATACTAACAGATGTAACGGAACATCCTGTGATTCGAGTTGGAAGGTCTATTCAAGAGCCCTGTATTGTGGGTGGGAAAAGGCAAAAACGGTCCTGTGCAGAGTACAAGAAACCACCACCACCCAGGCCAGTACCAACTTACAAAAAAGACGTTGAGCCAGAGTTTGATAATCTGACTGACATAAACTACACACTACGCATAACGTCTGGGACTTGTATGTTTTGGGATGTTGAAAATCAGCAGTGGTCAACAAAGGGCTGCAAAGTAAGGACATTCATTTTTATTAATTTATTAGTGAGGGCAATCTTATAAAAGTATTGAATCTTTCAGATCAAAGTTGACTTTGAAATGAATGGACTAATTCGACGATACGGCGGCAATCTAGCCAGGGTAGGGGAAGGGGGGGGGGGGGACAAAATAAAACTTACGGAAATATATATAGTTCCTTGTTTTTGTCTTTTTTCATGGGTTCATGGGTATAGGCGGTCGTGATCGATGTGCCGTCTTTATTCCTCTTTTGTTATATTCACTTGTGGTTAGCCGATGAGATCAATCAACGTCATAAATGTAATAAGCTTATAATTTGCCCCCTGAATGATTGCCGTAGTCCTTTACGTCCATCTTCCAATAAAGTTAAAGCATACATCGGAAAAATCATTCTTACATGCCATGTAATAATGTTATCATTTTATAATAGCTTGGCTCCAATTTCACAAGTAATGGCGTCCATTGCCTCTGCGATCATCTGACGGCATTTGGAGGASACTTCTTCGTGGCACCCAATCCCATTGACTTCTCCCGAGTCTTCAAAGCTTTTCAATCCCTTGACGATAGTGAAAACATTGCTATATTAATAACAGTTTGCGTGCTGTTGGTGCTATTTCTTACTGGATTACTTATCACTAGAAGACATGACAAGATTGACGAAAGAAAGGTATTTTTACGCTTGTCATGATGATAACTAAATGACATACAAGTCAAGTAAAACCTTTGCAAGACGGGTTCGAGCTTGTCTAGAATCGGTCACATCACGTACCAGAAAAAAATATTCCTACATTTTTAATCGTGCATTTTTACTAAAAGACTGGAAAACTCCAGACCACTTAGAAACGTTCCCTGTTCGACGCCAATGAGGCGTTTTATTATCAGTTGTTTAATTTAATCCCCGTGCATTTTGAGAACATACACTTGAAATCAAAAAACTCTTTTTTGTACTTGAACAGAACGTCAACCGAACAATTGAAATGCAAGGCATTGCAAACGAAGCTCCGCACAGTTACAAGATTCAGATTGAAACAGGAATTTGGAGAGGAAGCGGCACAACAGCATATGTTGGAATAGTCATTTATGGTGAAAATGGATGTACGGCACCCATCTGCATCACTACCAGCAGCGATGATGAAGCAATACTGTTCGCGAGAGGGAGCATAAATACCTTTAATCTGCTTCTGGATAAGTCATTGGGTACCTTGATAAAAATAAAAATCTGGCATGATAATACTGGGACAAGTCCGAGCTGGTACGCACACCAAGTCATGATTACCGACAATGAAACTACTAAAAAAGAGCACTTTTTTATCAACAGATGGCTCGCAGTTAACAAAAGAGATGGACGTATAGTCACGGAAACCAAGGCCTTCAATAAAAGCGATGGGAACAGTTTTCGAGACTTTTTCGCATTGCGTACAGCGAGAGGGTTTGCAAATGATCATCTGTGGGTGTCGATTTTTACACGTCCACCTCACAACCCTTTTACAAGGTCTCAGCGCCTTGCTTGCTGTATGTCAATCCTATTTGCTACTATGATAACAAATGCTATGTTCTATCAATTGGGTTCCAAAACCGGTGGTGATAATTTCAATATTGGCCCAATACAGATGAACCTTTATGCCATAAAAATTGGAGTACAAAGTGCTTTAATAGCGATACCGATAAATGTAATAATCGTGATGCTATTCAAAAAAGCCAGCAACATGATCAATGAAGATGAAATAGAAACAAAGAAGCGCTTCCACTTAAGCAAGCTCATGGTGTCACTAGCTTGGGTTTTATGTTGTAGTGTCATATTGGTCTCAGCTGCTTTTGTAGTATTTTACAGCATGCAATGGGGAAAAGAGACATCCAACAACTGGTTAACTTCTGTGGTAGTGTCATCAATCCAAGACATATTTATCACTAGTCCAATCAAAGTAGTCTGCATTGCAATTACGTTATCTGCTATTTTGACAAAGCCTCCAAAAGAAGATGACATTCGCTATCGAAAAAAAGCCTCCAAAGTAGTGAACCCTAATACAATAGAGCAGCCTAAAGACGAAGAGTTAGAAAAGGCAAGACTATATGATCAGCAAACGGAAGAAATGTTTACAGTTATACGTAAATTATTTCGCCTTATTGTACTATTTATCCTCTTCATGATTGTATGTTACGGAAATAGAGATCAATCAAGATTCCTGTTCACAAAATCTGTAAAAGACGTGTTTCATGGATTTGATGAGGTAAGTCTTCGGTGTTCAATTATATTTCCATTACTTAAACTTTTAAGAAGCGGCTGATTACGTACTTTGTAAGAGTACTTCAACTTTCATTTTTTTATTGAACCATGGAACAACGTCTGGGCTTTCAATTCAGGGCACTGCTATCCCAAAATGAGATCCAAACCAAAGAAACCAGAAATACCTCCCTCCTAAAACAGAAATCCTGGGTGGTACACCCTCTCCTAAAACAGAAATCCTGGGTGGTGCAACCCTCCTAAAACAGAAATACTGGGTGGTACACCCGTTCGTAAAACAGAAATCCTGGGTGGTGCAACCCTCCTAAAACAGAAATACTGGGTGGTACACCCTCTCCTAAAACAGAAATACTGGGTGGTGCACCCTCTCCTAAAACAGAAATACTGGGTGGTGCAACCCTCCTAAAATAGAAAAACTGGGTGGTGCACCCCTCCTAAAATAGAAATACTGGGTGGTGCACCCCTCCTAAAACAGAGATGCTGGGTGGTACACCCGCTCGTAAAACAGAAATACTGGGTGGTGCAACCCCTCCTAAAACAGAAATCCTGGGTTGTGCAACCCTCCTAAAACAGAAATCCTGGGTTGTGCACCCGCTCGTAAAACAGAAATACTGGGTGGTACACCCGCTCGTAAAACAGAAATACTGGGTGGTACACCCGCTCGTAAAACAGAAATACTGGGTGGTGCACCCACTCGTAAAACAGAAATACTGGGTGGTACGCCCGTTCGTAAAACAGAAATACTGGGTGGTGCAACCCCTCCTAAAACAGAAATACTGGATGGTACACCCGCTCGTAAAACAGAAATACTGGGTGGTACACCCGCTCGTAAAAAAGAAATACTGGGTGGTACGCCCGTTCGTAAAACAGAAATACTGGGTGGTGCAACCCCTCCTAAAACAGAAATCCTGGGTTGTGCAATCCCTTAAAAAGCCGGCAACTAATTGTATTAATTTAGTAATGAAATTACCTGAAAAAAATATCCGATTGCTAACAGTAGTAATGATGTTTCAAGGAAACACAAATGTATAAAAACGAAAATTCAGTGTAAATTTCAGTTTTCCAAATCTTAATCCTGCTGCTATTAAGGTGGCTCCACTGGGTTTTATCCGCGCGATACCATGCAACTTCAAATCGCAAATACTCGGACGCAAACAATCCAATACTAAAAATTTTCTTTAGAGGTTTCAAAGGAAAGATAAAATTTTCGAATGAGCATGTTTTTACTGAAATCGGAATTAATATAAGATTGCTTTTAAGCGTTGGTGCGTTTACTTCATTGCCTATTTTCTCCATTTTTTGACCTAGGTTTTTAAATTGCTTTTGAGCTATTGGAGGATAAGTAATTTGCTCAAGGTACAGAAAATTTGAAGAAAATCTGTATGAGCATTTTCCTGAAATTTCATATTGAAGTTTTAAAGTATACTGAAAAAAATTGCAAAAACAAAACATGTTAGTACTTAACTTGGTGGAAAAGTAGTTTATTTTCTCAGTTTTGAGTTCCTAATTTTATCTAAAGAAGTTGGTAAATCACTTTGGAATAATGGTTAAAAATTGTATAGAAATCGTACCATGTGATATTTCAAAATATTAGGTCGACTTAACTTGGCTATGAGCCGTATTTTTGGACTATTGTGTTATGTTAATTAACATGCTCCTAAATTCAAATCTACTCCATGAAGTTTTTTAAAATTTAGTCAATATTGGCTGCAATATATAGGCAACAAGATGTCAAAATTTCATTTTCATTGAATCATTTTAAAGCTTTCAAACTTTAATCCGCATCGAGAACTGTACAGGACGGCGATTCTCTTTAGCCCTTGTTTATTTGATTTTTCATCGAGCTATTGTCCTCTTTTATCACATTCACGTAAAGAAATGGAGAAAATAGGCAATGAAGTAAACGCACCAACGCTTAACAGCAATCTTATATTAATTCCGATTTCAGTAAAAGCATGTTCATTCGAAAATTTCATCTTTCCTTTTGAAACCTCAAAAGAAAATTTTTAATATTGGATTGTTTGCGTCCGAGTATTTGCGATTTGAAGTTGAATGTTATCGCGCAAATAAAACCCAGTGGAGCCACCTAACACTAGTAAATATCTAAGCTTTTTATTTTTCGATAGTGAAGGTACAATTATGATGAAGAATATGTCAAAAAATTTTGGGTTTTTTCAGGTGGTGTACGATACGGTGCACGTGACATTCATCGTCCAATCAGATTCCCTGATTTTTTTCCCCCGAATGTCGCGCAAAAAAAAAGAGGTTGAAGCATTTTCCAAATTCCTATTGCTGAAAAAAAAGCCTCTCTATTTCTTCGAAACTAAACATTAAGAGCTTGTTGCAAGGACATGGAAAGGATAGGCCTTCTCCTACTGATAATTGAAGTTTGAAGTAATAGTAAACAAAATATMTTTTGTTTCTTCGCTTGAAAGTGGGAAGTTTATAAAGTGATTGTTTACTTTTCACTTAGTTTCTCTTCTACCGGAAGTTCCTAAAACTCCTTTCTGTTTGTAGTCGAAATCATTTAATTTAGGATTTGAATGGACTAAGAATAAGTGTAGTGAAGAATAACCTATTGAAAAGTTCCGGTCGACCCGCGTCGACCTCTTCTAGTTTCTTTGATATTTTAGTTTTACTCGAAGCGTATACAAGTGTATTTGTACTGCCACACACATCAACATCACCGTACAACGTCTATTTTTTYCCCCGAAATTACGACTTGGAAACCAACAAAAATCTAGAAGAAGTCCTTAAACATGCACAGCAGTATCATGTACTTGATAAATTAATACTCTTTTTATTATAACGTTGCAAAAAACACACTTTTTTGCCGCTTACTAGTTTCCAAAACTATATGTTTAAAAACGTGGAAACCCATTTGCAGTCGTGATTCACCTCTTTGACGAGCTGTTTGATTGGACAACTAGCTGTCAAAAGTGACAGCTAATGATTGACACCGYACTTTTTCTAAAAGCAAGCCGAGAAAGTAGTAAACTTTAGTCGTAATGTTTTGCTATACGTACTAGAATTTATGCCTTTTATACAGCAAAAAAGGTATAATTTTCAAAAGTCTGATGTCTCGATGTAACCATGAGGAGTCTCAATTGATAGGATTTGTCTTTGGGCACCAACTCGAAGAGTGCACTCGTAAAAAAAAGTGTTTGAAAATTTCAAAAAGGTTTGAGAAACTAATCTGTACAGGAACTACATTTAACTTAACTTAGATGTTATCAAACTACATTCAACTATTTCTTCAATTGTTATTTGGTTGAACTATCACAAAACGCCAGTATTATCTTAGTTAGCTTTAAATCTAAAAGACTCTAAAACTGTTTTCTTTTTCATAATAATAATTTCAAAAATAGCCAAAGACATTTATAAGCTGAAGCTGTGAATTTTCAACTTTTCAAACTTTTGTACGAGTTTACGTATTTTATTGAACATGGAGAACTTTGCTAAGCTTTTTCTTTTCTTTTTTACTGGGAGATGGAGGGGTGGGTTATTTGCAAGATCTTTAACTTTTGAAAATAACATCAGAAATACCGTAAATTTTCAGTTTCGGAAGAAGCAGCTGGAGCTCTGTACACTACGACGGTCAGAAACAAATGAGCACATTTTACGTTTTCACCCATCATGCTTTGCGAACCCGTGTCGCACACCACCTGGGGTTTTTTGGTCGAAGATTGCGAGCTACTTACGTGAGGCCATTATAACGTAATGGAGCGCGCGCTCAAAMTTTTTCACGAAATGTTCGCTATGTCTTCAGGAAAAATTCCATTTCCCTTTTTCTAATGTTCATTTTTTTAAATCATATGGTTTTCTTATGTAATTTAGAATAAATTCGAGGTTGTGGGTTTTCTAAAAGCTTTCTTCGAATTTTTCAATTTTATTCCCAATTGCACTCGAAACCATATGATTACCTTATACCAAAACAATTCAACGACATTATCCAATAAATGGATATCCAAGAATGCAAAGAAATAAAAAAGGGCAAAATGGAAAATTCCAATAGAAAAAAAGAAAATTGAAAGAAGCAGTTCGAAATCGGTTATTCAAGAAAAGACATAACTCCATGAAACAAATATATATGTTTATATAAACGATTTTGAATTTTTTTCAAAGGTCTATCATCATAAACAGTTTTGGGATTGGACCCGCGTTGTGCTTGTTCCTGGACTGTTTGGTACACAGTGGTACAACAACCAGCCTTTTAACTATGAGGAAGGTTTCATCAGCAATCGAGAGGCGTTTCTTGTGGGAATGCCAAGGCTACGACAACTTAGGGTTAAACCAGGTAAGATTGTATAATAGACTCATTTCATTATTTATCAATCTGAAAACAGGAGAATTTTTTGCTCTTGTCATTTGCAATCTCTTTTCTTTTTTTTTTTTTTTTTTTTTTTTCTTACCATATACTAGAGCGGGTAACTGGATTAAATATGGCCTGTTTGCTTTCATTTATAGAGGTTTTCAGTAAAAAACAAAACGACACTATATATAATTAAAAATATTATTGTTTGCACGCTCTTTCCGGTATTTATTTTGATCACTAAAAATTAAAAAAGAACGCGCGCGCAATTTGATGACCCACTGGAGTAGGGGAAGGCGAAATTTAAACTACATCCGGTTTCTAAAAATACTCCAACCGAGAATTTACATGGCGCGCACGATATGTTGTTAGTTAAAAAAGTTATGTTATAACATTAGAAAACATGTTATGTTTTCTATCGTATTTGCAAACTTAGGCTGCCCTTAGCCCGTGTCTTAAGAACTTTAATTGTAATGTTGTCTTCTTTCATTGTGCTTCTTTCTTATTTTTATTAGTTGAAAAGTGTTCAGCATATAAGCAGTATCCTGGTATCGCTAAAATCTTCAATCGTTGCCTACCTTCCTATTCCTTTACGCACGAAGATCGAGGTCCATATTACATGCAAGGCTGGAAAACGATTTCAAATATTAGTTCATACAAAACAAAATCAGACCTGGATGCAATCTGTCCCGAGCACTGGCGATACCACAGTGATGATTCACAGAAGGCATTTCATATGATTGAAAATTCGTATGTCAACGGTGGATATATCGCTGAACTTGGATACAATTCTAGCTTTGCTTTGAAAACCATTCAGAACTTAATGGATCATAAATGGTTGGATGACCTAACTTCGGCAGTTTTCGTTGAGTTTACTGTTTTTGAGCCTGCAAGTGGTCTGCTATGCGTCGCAAAATACGTTTACGAAAAGTACCTTCATGGTAAAGCTTCAACAGCAATGTACATCAAAACTTTGGTAATTTACCCACCATCTGACTCGAAATCAAAGGTCCTAATGTATATATCTAAAATTGCACTTTTGATTTACATAACCATTCTTATCATTTTTGAAATACAACGACTATACTTGCAGCGATGGCGATACTTCAAAAGTATCTGGAATTGGTTCGAAATGCTCTTGTTAATATTGTGCGTCATGGCGATGATCATGACATCATTCGTTCAATACTATGCAAGTAATTTTGTCCAAGATGTTAGTAAGAACCCTTACAAGACATGGGCAACCGACGGCCTTGTATTCTATTCTGATTTGGAGATCTATCTTTTTGGTTTTATTCTATTTATTCTGACAATCAAGTCTTTGAAAATAGTTTCCTTCAATCGTCCRGTTTTGGTCATGCTCATGTCTCTGAAGAGAGCCTCAAAGCCACTAACATCTTTCAGCATGGTATTTTTTACAGCAATTGGGGCCTTTGCGATGCTTGCACATGTGGCTTTTGGCAAGAGCATGTTGGCTTATTCATCGTTGCAGAACGCCTTTTTCGAAATACTACAGGCTGGGTCTCTTGGAGGTGATCTTGGCTTCAAGAAACTTTATGAAATCAGTCCAATTCTTGGACCACTCTACATTTTCTTCCTGAGATTCATTATAACCATCGTTCTTGTAAATATCTTTATAGCTATACTTAACTTTTCATACGCCCTTTCCAGTGCAGAAATGAGGGCTAACATGACCTTCAAGAATCTCGTTATCTTAAATTTTGCCAAGACATACTTCAAATCATTGCTTCTAAAGGACATCAAGAAGTTTTCGTTGAATCTGTGGAAAGCGATTCTGCAGAAGCTGTTAGCAATTAATATCGGAAGAAACCCATCCTGGAATATATCTAAAATGCCAAAGCGTCGAAAGAGATTCAAGACTGAAGAAAGTTCTGAATTCAGTTGCGAGAGGTGCGTCTCATCGGATGGCGAGAGTAAAGTTCCCATTGAATCGATATATTGTGAAAAGCACGATCAAGTTAAAACAAGAAGAAAAGGGTTCTCTCACATTGAGGGAAAAAGTAAATGCTTTTCCAAATGCATTACAGGGTTTTGCGAAGAGAGAAAGTCTGACCATGAGGAAGGCATTCTGGAAGAAGAACTTGTGTCATCGCATCCACATGATGCGAAATACTTCAAGGGAGAAAATCCTATATGCAAACATCTTTCAAGTGAAGGTTCCATCTTATCATACAATCGAGCTGATATGCCAGGAGCAAGCAGAGAAGATGAAATAGGAGAAGGAAGTTTGTCATCTCACAGCGATTCTATCTATGACAGCTACGACGACATTGAGTTTATAGATGATGATTACGTCATAGCAGACATGAAGAAGAGCTTCTCTGAAATACGGTCATCTATCGCAGAATCATTCCAATCTTTATCAAGCAGCAAACCTTCCAGACCCCATTCAATGCACCTACCTCAAAGTAAAAAAACACAAAGTGCCTCACCTAGTTCACCTTCCGGTAGTTTGCTCTATTCTACAAGTCCATCGCGATCGGAGATGAGTTTACCTCGAAGTCGCAGATCAATTGAAACCCAGAGTCTTGAAGAAGCCGACTCTGAATGGTCTTTTTCATCTGGCTATTACAGATTTGAAGGGGCAGGTGATTACAAGCGCCAATAAGCGAAAGGATAAAGCTCTGCATATATCTTCTTTTTTTTAGTTTTTGGCTTGAGCTATTGATATCGGCCAATTTCCGAGACTTTGTTATAAATATGCTGCATCTATACTTATCTACTAACGTGCTCAAACTAAAAACAAGCTAATAAACCAATGCGTGATTAATAACGTGATTTTGGAAAACGAGCTAATATTATACCAGGACTAGAAATGTCATATAAAAACTAATGAATTGCGGATTTATCTAAAACTTCAGACTGAGCCGGAGTGGGAGCAGCTGGAAGAGAACCTGAAAACCTCAAAAATGATCATTTAAAAGCAACAATAATGAATGCCACCTCCCTTACTGACCTCGTTTCTGTAGGGCAGAGGCGAGGTAAATGCTAAAATATAACTAGTTTAGAAAAGACGTTACAGCAAAAACGTGCGATCGAGTACCTTCTCCCCCTAGGTTGCTTCCTCCGACGTCATTCGCAGTCTTTGAATTTCACGTTCTGACGCGGGTGCAGGTTTCGTGACGATGGGCGCATGAAAACATACTCCCGCCGTCTTCTTTGCTAATCTTTTTAATACTAAATCAAGTATAGGAGACGACTTCTGGAAATGGTGTACCCAAACAATCCTCACGCAACACGTTACATATTTAAAGGGAGACTAGTACCAAAATCGTCCTCTGGTTAAAGGTTTTACTTGATATTCGTATGGAAATTATTATATTTCTGCGAATCTTTCAAGGAGAGCGTCATCTACTCAACACTTAACTGTGTTCTATTTACATTTATTTGTATTTTGTAATGAAAATATCCGTTAGTTTAATACTCAGCAAATCAACAAGTTATTTGCAAGAAGGGCATGGAGCAATGTTTAGTGTTGAATAGATGAATATGTGAATAGATGACGTCAGAGAGTTCTATAAAAATTCGTAAAGATATAATACTTCCCATCGGAAAGCAAACTCAGACATTCAGTGTTTTGTGAAATAGAACCCTTTAGCTTGGGTATAATGGTCTATCCATTTCAGACCACGTTTCATTCTCTAGTATCATTTATTTGTTAACTATTGCGCATGACAAGACACATGAATATGGATACAACTCAAACAATCTTGTTTTCAAGAGAATGGCGTGGTATGAAAGGAAAAACAATTCGCCCAACCTAAAGGTCTTTTGATTTTTCGCAGCCGTCAATCAAAATGATGTAAGTTTTTGAACCAAAACTGAATTATGCAAACGAGTCTAACGTTCAACATGTCGTTGTCTAAACCTAGTTTATTAGCTCTCAAATGGTCGACGTTAGAGTTTTTGCTTGCATCGATACAGTTAATTTTAACGTCTTACTCCCGATGTTTCCATTGCAACCTTTATGACCATTTATGTAAATACTTGGGTATGATTAGGTAGTTGTTGACTGACTCGTTTGGGATGGAACATTGAATAGAAATGCAGACAACCACTATTGAATTTTCATTTGTATTAGGAGCGTTTGAGGGTAGTCGTCAAATATATATATATATATATTAACATTTGATACCCCAAACCCAAAAGAGTCCAATTCAATTTAACTGATAATTTAATTAAACATTATTTAATTAATAAATCAAAAGTATCAATAATAAGTCACTGGAAAATATGCAAAACAATTCAAGCTATTTTTTTCTGCTATGTTTACATATATTTGCCTATTTGAAATGCAAAGGAAACTTAATTATAACGAAATTTTTCCCAGTTTTGATGGTCTGGAGTTCCTTAAATCAGCCTTAATACAAGATGATCGTGTTACTAATTTTCCTTGAAATGATGTTCTGGTATATTGCTCAATTATCAATATCCTAATTACAAAACTATACATATTGTATAAAGAATAACGATATTATGATGTGTATATTCATATGATTTTTGCTTCTTTGTCTCATTTTGGTAGGGAAAAAATAGCAGACTGTCTAAAATCGTTGAAAATATGCTTACCGATTCGCTATTTCAGCCACACTGATTTTACAAGACAATCTGCTCTTTATGAAACAATATATCTTCATAACTCGAATAATAACCTAATCTACTTCTACATTATCATAAGTGAGTATCAGTAAAGTACTGTTCGCGTTTAAAGCTATGACGTGGAGTACTTTCTTCGTCACTGTCAGACATAGGCAGCTTATCTTCCATGAACTAGAAAACGAAAAGAAAAGTTAATGAGAAGAAGGAATGATTACTGTAACTTTATAAACTAATTGCGATTTTGAGACAATACAACAAAATATTGACGGCTAGTTGAAACGGCAATACCATAAAATATTGTCGTCTCAAAAAATATAAGAAGCTATTTAGTGAGTAGCGATACTACGGTCGAACTTGGATACCAAGTTCGGAACATACCGGTGCAGGATCTCGAAAGAGCCTTAAAGAGATATTGCTATACTTACAAAACCAGAATCTTTATTGCTGTAACTATAGGTTCGAGGGAGATCATTCCAATCAGAACTCTCGTCCATTCCAAACTTGTTTAGACTACCATCAGTTAGATCTAGTGACCGATTAATTCGATTGTACCTCTCGTAGCGGTCAATGCTGTCATAACGGTCAGGCTTAGGAGTTCCTCGAATGGGAGTTCCGCTACCATCAAACAAAGCCACTGTGCTGCCATTACTGAATGTATTTAGATCCTGAAAAAAGGGTAACAGTAAAGTAACCAATACAATAGTTTAAAACAAAAATGTTTATACAGCGGTGTGCATTAATTACGATAGGAAATAAGTAAGAAAAGAGCATTGATTACCAAGAATAGAGCGGTTTTCGCATAAATGGGAATGGACACAGAAAATACGCGTTTTAATTGGTTGAGTTACTGGAAGACAATGAGAATCTATTATAATGTTACGACATGCAGTACCGCGTACGTAATGTGATTCAGTGCCTTATGCTTTCCACTAATACAAAAACCGCTCTAACTAAGAAACTACTCGAGATGGGTTACACACATACTGTATAGAAATTTACAATATGCCGAAGAAAGCACACCGATATAGATTCGAAACGAATCTTGGTGATGATAAGCGTAATAAAAAGGGCAAGAAATGCAAAGTAAGACTACAAAACATTTCCGTGACATGCATGTATAATCAAACCAACCAGATAAATAAAGTTATAAATCTCTATAAATAAAAAACCTCTATTGTATATGAATAAATATATCGATGACTTACGATCATACTGCCTCCTTTTCTGTCTGATGACGAGTAAAGACTTGACATAGATGGAGGTCTGGAGCGCATTTTTGTCCGTGGGGGTAGGGGTTCCCTTTCCCTTACATATACAGTTCTATCACCAGTGCGTTTTCTCAGACACAAGGCAAGAAGGAGGAACAGGAGTAGAATGCCTATCAAGACTATTACTGCAATAAACCAGATGGTTTTATAGAAGGGAGATGTTTGAGGTTGGGCTGTCGAAGGCGGCAAAACGATTCCTATAACAAACATAAAGATTATACACTCAATACTGTTATTATAATAGTTGAGTTCACAATGATTTATTTTTTCGTTTAAGAATCATACAAGTTCGGTTCGATACAATGCTTGTTGTCTCATTTGCATCTCATTTGTCCGGGGGGGGAAGGGGGGAGACTCTTAATTTTAAAAATTGGGTAGGGGGGCTCGACGGACGGTTTTGATAAAGACCCTAAAAGGTACGCATAAATTAACTGAAATGCTGATTTCAGACCCTAAAAGGTACGACCACATTTAAAATGACAACGTTTCCAACCATTATATGTATGACGTTTGATATTTTCAAAACAAACAAATCTTACCCTAAAAGGGGACCCTAAAAGGTACGCGAGGTCTCATTTTCGACCCTAAAAGGTCCGTCGAGCCCCCATCCCCACCCCCTCTGGGCTCCTTTGCATGTATCCATAATATCTGCTATTGCAAAATCTTTGTAAAGCGTAAAAATGAGAATTAAAAAATACCCATATGATACCCATATAATCTTTGTCTGTCTGTCTCTCGATCGATCGATTCAGTTATTCAACACTAACGGTAAGCCTGGGCTACCTGTGGTGTTAATGTTGATGAGAAACCATAAAAGAATCGTTGAGTCAAAGACAAGGGGTCCTAGAACCCAGGTGATTGAAAATATTTAGCAATACTCTCCCTGTTTAATCTCATAAGGTGAACTACCGTCCAACACTAATGAATCTGATTCTGACACAAATTCTACGACGTAAAACTACATTTGAAGAGMATGTGTCGAAGTTTGCAGGATGTTTATTTTTCTTACCTTCTTTGGGAACCGTAACAGTTACTTTGGGAGATCGAGCTGTCTTTCTAACACCGTTTACGATGGTCGTCACGGTCACCTCATAGGTGTACTCTAAACGACATGAGAAAATACACACAAAGGTAAGAAATATGGAATTAATTGTAGATGCAAGGGTGCTAGGACCGACTGATTATATATGTGTTTGTTTCAGTAGCAAGTAGCAAGATTCGTAGATTTCGGCATGTATTATTGATATATATTATATACTATATTATATACATATATAATCCAATCCATCTGTCCTAGCGCCTTTTACTTTTCTGATCCCGCTGTGCAAAGAGAGGATAGCGCTATTCGACGGATATATCTTTTTCCAGTGGATCAGGTGATGCTGATACATGCAAACCAATTCTTTACTGTATAAGATTTATCCGTCGAATTCGTACAACTGGGCAAAGTTCTAACAGCTAGCGCGCAAGATGTTAAGACAATAGACCCGCACAAAGGCGTCCTATTGATAGTTTTCAACACAACCTACCTCCGCGTGCCCTATTTGGAAAATTGTTGGCTGTCTTTTGTCCTCGAAAGACAATCACACCTTTTTCTAGCAGTGTGTATTCGTCCAGTGGTCCATTCAATATAAAACATTCACTCCAGTCCACAGAGACGTGGAAACCAGTTACGTTAACGCGAGGAGGAGAATCAGCCAGAGCTAGAGGATCTGGAATTGAATTGGAATACTGTACACTTTACATTGTTCCTTGTGAATATAATATTAGAATCGTTTGTCAGCAAATAAGCAATAGACAGAAACTATACTGCGAACAACCAGGCTGTTTTTGAAAAATCAAAACTGAAATCGAAAAAAAAAAGGAAAAAAAGAAATAAAATAGATTTGGAAAACAGTTTATAGTGGAATATGTCGGACGATCTCCTCAATCGATTCAGTTTTATTTTAGTTAGATCAATAAGGCAAGACTTGACAGCAAACGGTCAAGCCATTACTGCATGCTTGTGGAAGAGAAATGGAAGAAATATTATAATCAGCTTTTTTGCGACATCCACCTAACCGAAACATAGGTCACAATACAAGGCACCAAGCCCAATCTTGTCGATTATACTAAAATATATATATTAAAAAAAGGAAAATTGAAAAATGCTTAATATAATTTTGGAAACATTATGTTGATAACAGCCTGATAGTCTTACCTTCAGGCAGAGTAGTCACGGCCTTGACATCAGACAGCCCAGAATATTTGCTGTTGTAAACACGAATAATGAAGTCGTATGTGATGAATGGCATCAGACTATCAACAGTAGCGTTTTTTTCTAGACCAGCACTCGTGCCATTTGATGGTATTTCGAAGGATGATCCTTTGACGCAAGTCATGCGATGCAACACTTCGTATCTGGAGCAGAAAAGAGGAAAAAATAAATAAAACTTACCATACGAGTATAAAATGCAAGAAAACTCAATTGATACTTCAGTAATTAGAATTACATCTAAAAAAATAGGACACGATTTGTTTCAATTGCAATTAGCTTTCGTGTAATTCCAAAACTCACAGAACAGAAGAGTAATTGCCATACCTGGAAAGAGCGTGTTATAGTAAAAGAACGAGTTAACTGTGAAGTTTGAAGGAAGTAAGTCGAAGAATCAACCTTTTGTACTCTTTTGGTCCTTTATAAAGGTTTTAAAATCTTTATATAAAGATATCCATGTTGAACTATTATCAGGTATAAAGATCCATGCACGTGATGGATTTGAAGGACCTGATAGGTCTAAATACTCATTAATTATTCATGTGAAGTTCAGATTCTTTCTAAGCACGTACATCGTATGGTAAGTTAACGAAGAATTTATTTAGAAGAAATTGTTAAGCACTAACCGTGTTATAATTCCATTGGGTTTAACAGGTTCGTCCCAAGCCAAGTCAACCGATCTTGACATGATCTTCACAGCAGTAGGGGCACTAAATTGAGTTGGGGTTCCTTCACTTGTTGTTTCACTGACATCAGGACTCGTTGTACAACCAGCATCTGTACAAGCAGAGACTTGAATCTTGTAAACAGTAAAAGGCTCTAGATTTGATATCATTCTGGAGGTCTCTAGTCCTTCAGACACATTCTTTCCCGCATTGATAAGTACATAATTACGGATTTCTCCATTTGGCGTTAAAGGAGCTTTAATCAATACTTCAAGTCTATCTTGGAACTTCTTTGTAATCTGTGGGGCTGGCACGTTTTCTGGGACGTCTGGAAGAGTCTTGACAACAGCCCATCCACTTGTTGCCGATCCTTTACTATTGGTTGATGTTACTCGGTACTCGTATTCAGAGTATGGAAGTACTGTTTTATCGGTGAATGCAAGGTCAGTACCATTTGACGCGTTATGCACGGAGACGATAGTACCGTATGATGCTCGTGCACCAACTGCTCTTATCACCTTTCGGCGGTATAAAGTGTACATGACGATAAAACCGTTTGGCTTTGCAGGCTCGCCCCAAGTAACACGCACACTTCGTGCTTGGATTGACTCACTTGGGATAACAGGTCGTCCCTGCGACGCTGGCACTGCCTCAGACGTCCTAGCTTTAGCTATTTCGCCAATACTGCAGGCTGCATTAGTACAAGCTTTAATACGTACTTCATAAAGGGTATAAGCTTCAAGTGCATCTAAGACAGTTTCCAGGGCCAAGAAGGCGTCTTTTTCTTGGTTGTTGTACATTACGTAGTATTTAATAATATTGCCATTCGGAAGTCCAGGTTTTTCCCATTTAACACGAATGGAATTTGAGCCTAACACAATCAATGAAGGCGCTGTAATGTTGTCAGGTGCACCAGGATTTGTAGGAGGGTTACGCCCGATTGGGCTATCAAGACCACGACCGGCATTATTTACAGCATATATCGTGTACTCATAAATTGTGTAAGGCGCTACATCGTAGTCATTATATCGAACGTCAGATCCATTGTACACAGGTATCCCATTTCTAGAAAGTATATAATAAAGTATAATACCATTTGGCTCTGTCGGTGGTGTCCACAAGACACGGACAGTACGAGAACCTGCAACAGTAGCAACAGGCGCTGCCATAGAACTAGGAGTAGACTCCCGAGTACGAACTTTTGAAGAAATACTTCTAGTGCAGCCAGCCGTTGTACAAGCTTCTACAGAGAATTCGTATTCTGTGTACGGCTTTTTAGCACTTACAGTGAAGCTGCGATCTTGGCCTGAGTAGATAGGGGAAGAACCTCTTCCTTCGTATATCTTGTATGCAGTTATTATACCATTTGGTTTGCCAGGAATGTTCCATTCAATTCGAATCGCAATCGCACTTAAAGCCGACAAGGTTGGTGGGCTGACCTGCGCTGGTGCGGCTTGGTCCGTACGTTGTGAAGCGGGCATACTTTCCTTACAACCACCTCCACTACATGCAGATATCGTGTAGCTATATACTGTATATGGTTCACGACCTTCGTCCAAAAAGTAAAGATTACTCCCTTTGTGTATAATGGTACCATTACGATATACTAAATAATACTGAATGACTCCATTTGGATTGTCTGGTTCTCTCCATGTTACATTCAGCCTATAAGCGTCCAAAGTTATTACATTTGGTGGGATTACGTGACTTGGCGGGGCTTCTTTTGTGTCTACATTTAGCCAATCACTGTCCGTTTGGCCGCCATTGTTAAAAGCACGAATTTTATATTGATAGCGAGTGTATGGTTTTAGTCCAGTATCCATGTAGCTAAATACGGTTTCGTTCGTCTTATTTGTCGAATATACGATATCTTCACTAACAGATCGTCTCTTTCTGGCTTGCAATGTTGTTGTCCTGCGCAGTACTTCAAATCGCTGAATAACACCATTTGGTACAACAGGCTGCCGCCAGGTTAGCACAACAACTGTGGAGTTTACAAAGCCCGAAATTGGAGCAGCTTGGCCAGTAGGGTTTACCTCTGCTGAATATATTGACTTTGAATCCCCTTTTGTGCATCCGGCAGAAGTGCAAGCCTCCAACTGGAATTCATACGCGGTGTAAGGCGTAAGCTTTGTGACAATATATTCCCGAATTTTTCCTTCAAATATTTTGATATTATCTTTGTATATATTATAATGAGTTATAATTCCATTTGGGCTTCCAGGTTGGTCCCAGTAAAGTCGTAATGACGTTCCTCCGGGGAGTCTTTCTGCATTGAACGGCTTCAAATCAGCTGGAGGTGCCTCCTTGGTTTTGGCTGAGGTCCATGAACTTACACCCTCACGTCTCGTGTTGATTGCGGCTATCAAGAACTGATAGTCCGTATTGGGCTTCAAAATGTTTACGGTCATGTTGAACGTATTGCGGTCGACTCGCCCGGCTACCGAAATATTACTGTCTAAAACATTTAAAGGCTGGTATCTAAGCTCATAATGAATGATAACACCATTTGGATCTAATGGTGCTTCCCAAAAAGCGGTTACGGCAGTTGCATTGATTACATAAACTGTTGGCTGTTTAATTCCCTGTGGAGGGCCTTCCATTGTACGTATAATACTCCAAGAACTATATCCGATGCCAGCGCTATTTTCAGTCAAGATCCGGTACTCGTACTGTGTGTATCCCTTCAGATTTCCCCCACTGTCCAAACATGTTCTGGTAGACAAAGTTAATCCCGTTTTTAAACAAACTATCAATGGTACTTCGTTACCATGCTGGCGTTCCGCTTTATATTTGGTAATGATGCCGTTTGGCGACCCAGGTTCATCCCATGATATGGACACCACATTCCACTCCTTGGCTTCAAGCCGGGGTGGATTTACTCCTGCAGGCGGTGCCTCCAACGTCCTAGCATATGCTCGATCTCCGATTCCACAACCTTTGCTGGTACACGCCTTGACTCTAAACTCATATCTCGTATATGGCTGCAGATTTTCAACAAGCTTGGTTTTAGTCAAACCTGTGCTATGCTCAGTGCCGTCAACTATAATGGCGTATCCAGTAATGATACCATTAGGATTGCTGGGTGAGTTCCATTCAGCATATATTGAATAAGCTGATCGTGGTGTCAGAGTTGGTAAAGGTATTTCTTCGGGCGAACTTTCGGGCGTTTGTGCACTAACAGCACTACTTCTGGTTGTACCACCTTTAGTTGTAGCGGCCACATAGTAGCTATACACAGTCATAGGCCTGAGCCCTTGATCTCTGTAAATACATTTGTATTTACCTTGATCACTCATGGAACAGTTGTCAGTACCATTATACACGATAGTGTGATTCCTATACAACGAATACAAGTAGACGATACCATTTGGAACACCTGGCTCAAACCAAGTAGCTTCGATCTCTCGTGCTCCAAGAGCCACTAATGTCGGAGGCCGAACATCCTCCGGTGCATCTTCAAGAGTGAGCACAGAAGCAGAAGGTCCCTCTTTACATCCAATTTTCGTGCATGCAACAACTTGAAACGTGTAATTCTCATAGGGTTTCAAGTTGTTCACTATTAGGGACATTCCAAGTCCTTTGTCATTAGGGTTAAGATGAACTTTGTATGTACTGTTTATAATTTGACTGATGTTATATCGTATAATCTTGCCATTTGGTTTTGGAGGAAGAGACCATGATACGTTGATACTGGAGGATGATAAAGCGAACAAAGTAGGTGCTCCAACAATAGATGGGGATGACTCTTTCGTGAAGGTAACTGTGGAAAAAACGCTAGTACACTCTGTTGTACACGCTTGCAGTTCGTATTTGTACCCAGTGAACGCTTCGAGACCGGCTAAATCAGTATATGTAAGACTCAACCCACTGTATACTTTTTCCCGTTTGTTTGTACGCTGGTTGATACGAAAAAGAACATATGATTTTAGTTCTCCGTTCATTACTGAAGGTGGTTTCCAAATAACACGAATAGCTGAATAAGATATTGCAGTGGCAACTGGAGGTGCCAAACCATCAGGGCTGGCCATAAGGGTTCTATTTCTTGCCATTTCACTAGTAGTATTTCCCTCAGCGTTAATCGCCACTACATAATATTGATATTCCGTGTGAGGTGATAGATTAGTGTCCCTAAAACTTAGGACAGAATCACCGGCTGGCACACTAAGCTTTAGGAAATCAGATGCACATATCCTTGGTGTTGTTGGCACTGTAGTTGGCTTGTAATACCCTTTGGTAGAACCACACAGAAGGGTGCTTGTTGAGAAGTCACAGCGATCACATCTGGCAGAGCTTTCCTGGGCCTTATCGCAAACGACTCCTAACCCACAGTCTGTTTCTCCTTTGCTGGATCGGTCAGCGCATGTCTGATATGTGATATTATAGCCAACATTGTTGCAACAGCTTAACCCTCTTGGCACTTTATTTTGATTGCAGCACTTTTCTGCTTTGCTATTTTTGTCGGCAAAACTGCTGTAGTTGTAAACCTAAGAAAACAAAATGATTACATTTCTCTGTCAAAACTGTTGAACTGGTGCGTTGAGACGAAAACTGAAATGTGACACATAGAGTTCGATAAGAACTTACCTTAACTTCCCCAAGAGGATCTTTACAACAAAGGGTCGTTTTCTCACTAACATACTGAGTTCCACAACAGGTGTTTTCAGAGTCATAATCATATGCGATACCAAGCGACTGACTTCCACAACACACCTGAGCACCAGCAACCACCTTTCCTCCGCAGCACTGTCTAGGAGGAGAGCGCTCGTAAAGTGCGTCACACACACAAACCTGGAAAAAAAGTAACGTATATCAAAGGAAGCTGTTCATTTGCTCCAACAAGTACTTGTTTCTGAAAAAATGCTGGAGTAATAATTGAAAACTGCGAAAGTTCTAACCACTAACCTTGCTACCATTCACGAAATACGGCTCATCACCACAGCAGGTATCTCCTGCATTCATTGCAACACCGCCATCAACACGACGACAACACACGCTACCACTAGGAACGCGCAAGTAGTTGTCATAACAACACTGAAAATCTCTCTGCCTGACATGAAAAGTATTTCCACAGCATACATCATCAGGGTTATTCTTTAGTACATAGGCTGTTCCACAACATTCCTTGTTTGGATTCGCGGGTTCCCTTTGGTGAAGAACACCACTGCAGCAAATCTGAGAGAGAATTCGAAGGTTCAACAAATCACAAAAGTTACTGTTCCATCTGATATTTCAGAGTATCGATAACATTTTTAAGCGGACTATTTTACTTATTTGTAAAGATATATCTATTTCTACAATATATTAAATCAAATCAAGCTCATATTTAGAAGTGATTTAGAAGAGAAGTTTCCCCAGACAGGCTTTTATCCTATTAGGATTTGAGAATTGTTGATTCGTAGCGGAGCCTCAAAGCACAAGTGTGACTCTAAAAACATACGACAGTGAGTTCAGGAATCAAACGAGAGTCACATTGGTGAGAGACGAAAAAGTTCTGTCAGCGCTACTTCACCCGTGTTTCCCAAGGAAGGGGCATGTAAATACAAGTAGATATGGTACAGATGCGCAAATGAAAATACCCCAATTGAGATTTGCGCTATACAAATTCAATAAATTATTATTATTATTATTACCTTATCTCTTGGGTTAAAACATGACCTTCCACACAGCTCTTGTGATATATTACACTCGATATACGTGCATTTTGCCACGGGGGGAGGAGGAGTGGGGCAACTGTATATCTTGCGTCTGAACAACATGTACTTAGCAATTATACCGTTTGGTCGCGAAGGAGATCCTGTGAGACAAAATAAAGCAAATGAAGAAACAGCAATAAATCAGCCAAAATGAGCTGTCATCGATTTAATAAACTTACTCCAATTGACATCCATGAAAGTTGGTCCAGGAGTAAGCCGTGGAGGAGTGAGACCTTCAGGGGCTAAAAAAATACAATCAATCGGGAAAAAACTGATCAGTTGTAATTATAATTAATGTTATTTATACCTTCGATAATAAACTATACAAAAGATAATGGCAAACTCAGACCCCTTGCTACTAGATTGCCAATTCCTCATGGAGAACAAGAAAGAAAAAGGCCAGTGTTTTCAATTAAAACATTATAGGGAATTCAGTTACTTCGAGGTCCGCAGTCCAGAAGTGCTTACCATTTACCCGGAAAAACCTGAAAGTCCGGTTTAAAAGAACAAATGGAATGTATCATTCCGTTCGGAAAGTTCCGGAAAACTCGGTCTCCCGATTGAAGTAATACAGTTTTCCTTTCTTTTCGGTCCATTCGATAGAAGAGTGTACCATTCTTCGAAAGTCGGAGTTTCCGGCTCTTTTCTTTCCATTAGTGAACGAATTTTCAACCAGATGGATTGGTTTAAACGATAAGCACCCCAGGCTTGACCAAAGAAACTACACATGAACTATACATATCTTGAAAATGCAGTCAGGAGTCACGTTTAACACTTTTTTACTTCTTTTCGCTGACTTTTTAAATGTTTGAACATAGATCGCGGATCGAAACGTCTATTTGAAACACTTAAAAAGTCAGAGAAAAAAGTTTAAAAAAAATTAAAATTAATAACTTTATTCTACATCATTGTTATTTCATTTCCACTAATTAACTGACTGCATATTTTAAAAAATTCGACAAACTTTATGTTCGATGTAATATTAAAAGGCAAGAAAACAACATCGCAAACACAGGTTTTATGAATTACCAGCAGGGAGAGTTGTTATGGAACTGGGAGGACTTTTTGTACAGGCGTACACGGTACACACCTCCACCTTGAAAATAATAAGAATATGGATTTAAGTTTGTACGAACAATAGATCAAGAACAAGGCTATAGATAAAACAAATGTAAATCAAAAATATTACTCAATAAACGTTAGGTACTAATATTGAAGTATTTACCCTTATAGTGTACATGGTGTAGGGCACGAGAGAGGAAAGAGTAAATACTGTTGAACTCGCAGATGCATTGGCTACTGATATGCCATTGCTACAAAAATAAGAAAAATAAGAAACCATAAAGAAAATGTCTGATAAAATATTGGAAACCATGCTTTCTGGCTTTAATTTCTTCAATATTTTACATTTTTTCCTCGTACTCTCCCCCGTCTGTCGGGATTCTCGATATGTCTATTCGTTTCGTTCTTTCTTTTTCTTTTCCTTCCGCCCTCTCTCTTTCTCTTTTTTTCTWTTTTTTTTTTTTTTTTTATTATTTGCAAACAAATATTAAAAATTAGGCCTTTTTATGTTCCAAGGAAATACTAGTTTCTAGACGCCTTCAATGTTTCGTGCACAACGTTACGCTATTTTTCTGCACGCTTTGAAGCAAGCGAAGAATGTAATGTTTTGTCGACAGCGCCAAAGCAAACCAGATCACTATGCACTTACTGCATATGAAATTCAAGAGGAAAATATACTGATAAAACTTACGCGTAGATAATATAAACAGTTATTTTTCCATTAGGTGTCGTAGGATGTTTCCAGTCTACTCGTATTTCTGTACTACTTTTGACATACAGACCAGGTGCTTCAAAACCTTCTGGAACTGTGACATGAAAACATGGATTCAATATAAAATGAACAAAAATTAGAAAATTGTGAGCCCGTAAATTTGACAATAAGATACGAACCTCCATCAAGAGTGCGTTGAGGAACCCAGACACTTGCAAATTTTCCAGCCGTATTATTTAGAGTTACCTAAAAGATACCAAGAAAAAAATTGTAATGATTTTTATATGGGACTCTTTATGTGTCCTGTTCTTCTTTCCCTCAAATAGTTGTTGTTTGTTGTTGTTGTTGTTGTTTTCACATGATTACTAGTTGTAAAGTTTAAATAAAAATAGCTGAATAACAATTTAAAATGGTAAATGTAGAGAAAAACATTCTTACCCAGAAACGATAGCGTGTACTTGGTTTGAGTCCGATTACTGCCAGGCTGGTCTGGTTGCCTGGCAATTCTAACTGATGAACAACGTTAGTGACGACGTTTTCGTAAAAAACAGTGTAGATGTTCACTGAACCTCGTAACAGAGCGACAGGAGGTGGATTCCAGGTGACTAGTATTGTAGTGTGGTTGATAGCTGAGGCATTAACAGTAGGACCAGCTAATGGAGGAGCAGGACCAGACCGAAGATCTGTTGAAGGGCTTGATGAGCTGCCAGTTGTTGTATAAACATTAACCTATACATAAAAAGGTTTATAGCAAGTATTCAAAGCATTTCTAAATATCACATTTTTAATACTTCCTAATCAAAGCAATCCGATTCGTTCTGTAAACCATTTAAGTACGTTAGAAACCTACGCCTACCATTTTGACGATGACAAAAAACTATAGCAAACACAAGGTACTTAGATTTGTGAAAAGAAGAAAACATGGAAAAATGTTCACAACAGTGACTTGCTCTCTCAGCCAGTAGAATAAATATCTCTCCTGCAATGACGGGCAAGCACTACCTATCATGCTCTTAACACGCTGATAGCTTCATATCAAAACTTTGTCATTCCACAACACTGGAGGACTAATGCTTTGATTTACAATAAGAACTGGGTTGTCTGCTTACCTTATATCGTTGTAACGAGTAAATCCCAAGTCCAGTATCATCAAATGTCCGCTGCATGCCACTGTAGATACTAGTATAATCGCTAACTGCTGTAAAATTAGGATTGACAGGTTCTTCTATTGTTTTTCTGTATAACTCATAATATCGAATAGGACTATTGGGGTCACTGGGCGGATTCCAAGTAACACGTATTGAGGTTGAAGTCAAAGCAATGCCTGATGGCGCGGGCTGGCCCGAGGGCTTATCAGTAAGTGTTCTTTCTTGAGTTGCAGGACTGTCACCACACCCATCAATAGTACAAGCGCTCACAACAATACTGAAAAATGACAGAATAGATAATGATTTTTACATCACCTCCACCATCTTCATTACCACCATCCATGAACATCAACCTCCATAAACATCACCATCACCTCCACCATCTTCATCATCACCATCTATGAACATCAACCTCCATGAACATTACCATCACCTCCACCATCTTCATCATCACC